CTCTCATATTATACAATAGTATAGAAGTAAATAAACAAATGTAGTCAGTCAGTCTACGCCACAGCCTCAGGCGAACCTGAGTATTCATAAAAAAATCACATTTCATAAAAATAATACGCGTGCATACAGAAGCTAAATATCTCAAAAGTTCAGGTATTTGTTTGTCTCAAACATAAATTTGTGTAAATTATTTATATATATATTTCTCGATTGTTCTATGTGGTTTTGTGCGAGGGCATATTCAGTATTTCTATTAATAAAAATACCGCGTTCTAGAAGATCTAATCTTTCCCGGCGGACCTATGATGCAATTAGGCAACGGAATAGCACGAGTCAATTATCTGACGAAGAACGAGAAATCGCCCGAGAAGGGCGCCGCGTTAGTACCCAGCAAAGAAGGGCCTTAATTCGTGCTTCTCAAATAGCCAGTCCGTGAAACGGCAATAAGAAATAGTTCAAGGGTTTTATTATCTGGCGATTTCCGACAAACACTACCAGTAATTCCAAGATCTACTGCTGCCGACGAAATAAACGCTTGCCTCAAAGCATCGATTCTGTGGCGATATGTAACCAAACTTCAACTGTCTGTATTTATGAGAGTTGCATTGTTGAACGATCTATAAAATAACTTATCTGTAATAAACCCATATAAAATAACTTATCTGTAATAAACCATATTAGTTAAACGGATTGCTCTTGATCTTTGCTGTTTCTCTGATTATTGAGAATATACAAATCGGTTCTATATTCTTACATTCTTTAAGAAAACTTTCCAACATGACATTTCACTATTAGGAAATGTAACTGATTTAGTTGAATTCAAACAAGGTTATTATTTTACAAACCTGAAGCTGCTCAAAATCCAAGACTATTACGAAATACTATCAAGAGTTTAACCAACACTGGTTTAGTTTGGCTTGTTGGCTTTCTTTTCAAAACTGGTCCCACTACAGTGCTAAAGCAGAGCTGTAAACTTAGTAAATCCAGATATTTATAATTTACTTTACTTGGCCTTTGCGTTGCTTTACTCTCGTAAGTTCTTTTGTTTTCACTAAAACGCCATCGCTGCGTTTTGTCATGTAAATTTTGATGTTATTTATTTATTTTATATGTGTTTTTTTTTTTATTTTCTGCGTAATTTTGTAGTCGTTATGAGCACAATAAACGCTTTTTATCGTGACCAAAGTCAAAAGAAACTGTGCCAGGGGTATGGCCCACAATGGGAGGACAACTGTCGTCACGTGTGCGTGTTTGCGTGTGTGTGTGGCTGTGTTTGTGGGGCACGAAACTAGTTTTCATTCAAGCGGTGTTTGTGTGCGCTTGTGAGAATGTGTGCGTGAGTTTGTGTGTGTGCAGAACTTAAGAAATGGCCGCAGTGCATTTTTTAAGCAATTTACATCGTGCTCACAGCTTGTAGCTAAACAAGTTATGCTGTAGCTGAAGATATACTTATAAATTAATTATAATGTTGCTTGAGTACTTGTCAACTTCAATTTATGGAACTTCGCACTGTATATATAATATAAGTATTGATAATTAAGCTAAATATTAAGTGTAATTTATAAGCTACCTATAAATTAGTTTAGTCTAAGTAATGCGCCCACAATTCCCCAATACTATTATTTTTATTTGCATTATAAAAAATATATTTTCTCTACTCTCTCTTTCTCTTTGTTACTCCAATGTGCGACCCATTAAATCTCCCACAAAAAAAAATAAAAACAAAAACAAATTATTTGTATGTTGAAACTTGCCCAATCAAAAACAAATGTAAATATTATTTCCGCCACAAACTATTTGCAAATTCGAAAACTGTTCACAAATTGTATTGCAATAATTACAACAACAACAACAACATCAATAACAACAACAGCAGGTAATTTTGGCGTCGTGCAAAGTGTCCAAACAAATCTCTCGCCCGGCGATCTACAGATTCATGCAAATGTAAGCAAAGATAAATAACGGAAAAAAATATCCAATTCAAGAGCAATTTTGAATTTGATAACATTTCTAATGCGTGTCTGTATTTTATTGTTATCGGTTATCGTTTTCTTATAATTTGTGATTTGTGACAACACATACAAAATGGAATGTAAATTTTACACGCTGTGTCGTTTATTTCTCTTGGTCTCTATTTTGTCTCCTTCCTATCCAAAGTTTCGTTCGTTCGAGCACCTTCAACAGCCCACATTTTTAGCCTTTTTTACTCGTTTCACATTATTTTTTCCATGTGTGTGATTATTCGATGTGTGAGACGAATAGCTGCCCCTCCTGCTCCAACACTTTGTTACTGTTAGTTTCTTTTTTGCTTAACAGATCCTTTCACACCTTCAAAACACCGCTCGATGCGCTGTTTACACACTTAATATTATTCTTAAGTTTCTTTCGTCCAATTTCTTCAATTACTCTTTTGAATTATTGTATATCTAAAAACAAAAAAAACAAAAAAAAAATACAAAAAAAAAAAACATTTAAAGATTTAAAAAAAAAGAACAAATACGTGAAGAATTTGCATGGATATCGTAACGCTGTTTCCAGTTTCCTCCTTACTTCAACAACAACAAACACAACAACAATGTACACTTGAACCCAACATCTCTGAAACATACTTCACAGCCTCACTGAACAGTTTAGACTAGCACACACTCACGGCCCCTCCTCTTGCTCTCCTACTCATTCAAAGAGAAGAAGCTTATTTAAGGCCCTCCCTAGCTCAAAACATTTTATGTTATCTTAGCCACTGCAGATAAGTATGGTACTGTATATATTCAATATTCTCTGAATATACTCATATCCAAGACCCTACACCATCTCTCTCTCTCTCTCTGTATTTGCCTGCCATGTACTTTGCTCTAGACCCCAGCACCTCCGAAAAACTCCTTCTAATACACATAAATATATATGTATGCTAGGTCTTAAGCCGCAATCAAGTTTGCTAAGTTCCTGATCTTTCAAATACTTTGATCTTGTGGCACCGGCATAGCTCTTTAACTGAAACTTAGGTCTGCCTCCCCTTGATCCACATATAATCCGTATTCTAGCTAACATACTACATACATAAATACAATACTGTACTATGCACCTAGGGATCTATTTTCAGCAATTGACTCATATTGTAGCTTCTGAAGATCGGCATTTTAATGATCACTTAAGATCGGATTTTAGATAATCGTTCTTAAAAGCTAAGCTTGCAGACAATGCTGAACATAGTTCCCATAACTTTAGGTCTTTACGCTCTTACGTATTTTATTTAGTTTTCATTCTCAATCGACAATCAACTGAAGACATCCACATCATGAATAATATATGCAAACTGTATATATTTCTTAATATGGCACTTGCTAAACATTTCTCGCCGTAAGTTTTACCTCAAAGGACAACAAACTAATGTCAGGCAAAAGAACCCTCAGAGAAGGGTATTCAAAAAATCGAGCAATTGAGTAGCTCAAGAAATACAAATCAGACTCTCTGCCCCGCCTTCCCTCTTAGTCCGCCCATTGACCCACAAAGTCGAGTCGACAGAGTATCTATAAATGCCAACCATTACTAGTACCTCCTACATCTACAGGCGGGCGTCTCCAGGTGCGCACGGATCCTTGGCGACAGCAGCGCAGCCTCAACGAGCGCGATCTACTGACAGTAGGCTCGAGTGACTATCGGCTGCTGGGCCACACGAATCAGCGGCTGTACGCCTCGGCGGACCAAAGGGATCGGTATGAGCTGCAGCTGCAGCATCGCGAGCGCCTGGAACAGTATCCGCTGACGAGGACCGCTCGACTGGACGTGCAGCAGCGCAACTCACTCAACCGCAGCAATCACGAGCGAGCGGCTGGAGCTGGTGGGGCTGGTGGTGCAGGTGGTGCAGGTGGTTCAGGTGGTGCAGGTGGTGCAGTTGCTGCAGTTGGTGTAGGTGGAGCAACTGGTCCTGCCTTTCGTCGGGCACCGCCCTTGGCCGCGGCCAGCGGCTGCGGTGGTGGCAGCAGCAGCAGCAGCACCAGCAGCAGCTACTATCCACAGAGCTACAGCAAGCCGCAGATTGTCATTGGATCAGGCTCTGCCTATGAGCGTGGCGCGATGTCGGCAGCTGCTGACGGCGTGCGAGGCAGCCTGAACCGAGAACGCGGCCTGCTTGGCGCTGGCGGTGGTGGCGGCGGTGGCGGTAGCAGCTCCCTCAGCTCCACAGAGGCCGCCTACTGGGATGAGCCAGCCACCAGTGGTGGTGGCGGTGGCAGTACATCATCGTCGTCGGCGGCGCAGGACTCGCGCCGCTTCACTGAGCGCAGAATAAAGAAAACGGTGCGTTTCGATGCGCACGACGACGAGTCGTCGCTCCTGGCGGTTCCAAACACAGGCAGTGGCTCCCTGCCACCAGTCACCGCCATACTGCCCTCGACGGCTGTGGATGTGGGCACGGCGACTCTGCTCACCAGCACGAAGCTGGCGCAGCCGCTGGACGGCGACTGGTCGCGCTGGGAGGCCGAGCGGCAGGGCAGCCAGGACTCGGCCACTAAAGACTCGGGCATTGATACGAGCAGCACCTTCACCAGCAGCGAGGACTCGAACCGCGGCGACGGCCCTAAGGTACACGACAGCAACAGCCACAGCGCAGGCAAAGCGAGTTCCTAAAAGAAAATAAGAAAATGAAGCCTATGAAACAGGCTGCCAAATTGCATTTTGTCTTTGTAGAGTCTGAGTGTGTCCCAGGTCCCTCTGTCCCTCTGTCTGTCTGTCTGTCAGCCAATCAGTTTCTTTATAAATATGTTTCTATTTATATACAGCCCCTCTCCTTCTACACCTCTCTCTATTACGCTATCCTTATTTCTTTCTATTTCTCCTTGTCGCTCTCTCACTTTCTCTCTCTCTCTCTCTCTCACTCTTTTTTCTTTATCTTTCTTAAACTCTGTTTGTTGTTCTTGTTTTGTCTTTGACTGGGAAAATAAATGATTGTTCACATGTATCGCCTATATAACGCTCAAGTCTATTAGACCCCGAATAACCTCTTTAGTTTGCATTCTTTATAGGCCAGATATCTCTCTCTCTCTCTCTCTCTCTCTCTCTCTGTCCTTATATCTCCCAGTTGTAAAAGAAATTACCCCGACAAATTCAGTCGATATCCATATGCAGTACCAACAGCCATAGAATAACTCTTAGCCATACAAATGCATGCCAATAAACATACAACAATTCTACATTTCACTAATTGTAAAATTACTTTGCATGAAGAGACGTAGACTCAAGTTCTTAGGTAGCACGTTTATATTCCCAGTTCCAATTCCTTCTCCAGTTCCAGTTCCAGTTTCCTTTTACCCACACTACAACATTAGCTAGTTACCATCCACATTATCCACATCTTTCACATTATATCTTAGCACGTTCTTTTGTCGCATGTTCTTTCAATGTTGTAAGCAATCCGTAACACATTTTCAAGCATATTGCCGAATTTGAAATTTGCTAATTTAAAATGACTCTTAATTGAATTTAATGATCTAATTGCAAAAGCTACGTGTGTGTTCTCAAAGTAGGTCTATAATACTTAACTACTACTAAACTTAAATCGAAATGTGAATGACAGCTACTATTCTATATACTATCTAACTACAATATCCTAACAGCGTATCGTAGAAACTGTTTCTAGCTTGTAAGAAAAACAAAACTGAATGTATAAAAAAAAAAAAAAAAAAAAACAAATGTATAAAATATTTTTTTTTTTTAATATTCAATTTTCTATTGTTCGACTTGTTTATGTATCATTTAACTAACTGTAAGTTCTTAAATTAAGCCATATATCTCTATATATATGTCTAACGATGCATAAATATACAGATATGTGTATATATAAGACTTTTGTATAGTGCAAATCTAAAACTATAAACCATTCTACTTCCTGCATACGAACATCGACATTCCGCTTCACCAAACAAATACCAAAATCAACAATCTCTAAAAAAAATTTATGCAAAATTGACATCCACGATCTCATCCTGACACTCAATCGATCCAACAAACACCCATCCACCAACACCGTCCACCCACACTGCGTGTACATACATACATCATGTGTCTATAGAATCCGGTGAATTGGCAAACATCCTCGGATAATACTCGCATGATTGGTCACATGATATTACGTAAATACTATGATGGGGAAGATATATTAGGCTTAAAGGTAAACGGCGGCCAGACCGTGGGTCTCGGAGGCCCATGCAGAGCCATTGTGGAGAAGGTGAAACGCGGTTCAGTGGCTGACGTCGAAGGCTGCATACGACCAGGTAAAGACCAAAAATCATGCCAACATCTCTGAATCACGACTCATATATCTCTCCTTCTCTCTTTCTCTGTCTCTTTCTATCTCTCTCTCTCTCTCTGTCTATCTTCGATTTCGCCGTTTCATTCACCACAACATAAACAATCATTAAACAATTGTGAACGATTGTGAACGTTACGCAGGCGACGAGATCATCGAATGGAACGGACGCAGCCTGCACAGCAAGAGTGCCGACGAGGTCTACGACATCATCGACGAGAGTCGTCTGGATGCACAGGTGGAATTGATCGTGGGTCGATCGCTGCTGCTGCCAGCCAGTGGCGCCGGCAGCGTCGACAGCGGCGGCAGCAGCAACGTCAGCCCCAGCAGCGCGTGCTCGGGCTCGGGCAGCAGCGTCACCCGGCGCTCCTCGGCTAACTTTCCGCACAGTGGGCTGGCGAGCAGCATAGCAGCCAGCGCAGTGGTCAGCAGCGGAGGTCGTTACCTGCAGCGTAAAGGTGTGTGTGAGTGTGTATATGCGTGGGTGTGTGTGTTTACAAGGCTCTATGATTAGTTGTAATAGAAATGAACTTTAAGAAAGATCTAACTGTAACCGTAATCAAGTCCCAGGCTATTTATCTTGACTAGGCCATGTAGCCCTACACATATAGGATGTATGCTTAAGCCACACACTAAACAAAACCCAAGACAACAAAGACAAACTACACATGACAGAAATTCAATGTAAGTTGGCTAAATAATCCTTTATATTTTTTGCGCTACAGCACCCGGCGTCGAGGCTCTAGAGCTGCACCGCGATAAGCCGAGCGTGCTGATCACCTCGCCCGGCTCTCCGGATCTCCACACCGGCGGCTCGAACAACGGACGGCGTCATCGTGGCGCTGGCATTGGCAGTTGCTCGCAGCAGACGCAGCGCTTGGAGGCCAGCAGCCATAACCACAGCAATAGCTACAGCTACAGCAGCCACAGCCACAGCCACAGCAGCAGCGGCAGCAACAGCAACAGCGGCAGCAGCAGCAACAGCAGCGCCACCGTCGCCGCCTCGAGCGGCGTGCACTGCGCAACGACGGCGGGCCACCATCATCATTGCCACACGACAGCGGCATCACCGCCATCGCACGCGCTTCCGCATCCGCACCCGCACTCGCACTCGCACGCTCACGCCCACTCACATCATGGGCATGGCATGGGCGTGACAACACAGCCGATTCCCATCGAGGGCCGGTTGCAGCTGAAACTAGGCTACGATCAGACCACTCTGCAGCTGATTGTGACGCTGGTTTGCGCCACGGGCCTGTCGTTGCGTCAGAGCGGCGCCGGGCGCAATCCCTATGCGAAAGTAAGTCACTCCACCTGAATCTAGTTGCCTGGTTACTAAAAGTCATATTTTTTGCAGGTGTTCCTCCTGCCCGACCGCAGCCAGAAGTCGAAGCGACGCACGAAAACCGTTGGCACCACCTGCGAACCGAGGTGGGGTCAAACGTTTTTCTACTCCGGTCTGCGGCGGAGCGACCTCAATGGTCGCCAGCTTGAGGTATGTTTCTCACTCGCAATAACTTTATTCGTCTACAACTTTTTACCAGCGATCCTCTTCGGTCTTTTGTAGATCATTAATTAACCTTGGCATTCTTGTTACTTCTATTTTACCATCGGTCCTCTATTACTATCCTCTAGAAGATATAGATCGTTTCAGACTACATGATCTTCTGGACATTTGTTAAGATCTATAGTAATATGAAATTATTTATTTAAACATTACCATTGACCTACGTTTAAGCAAGAGAAAAATGAAACATTTGATTCGCGTGTTGATCAGAGAAGGCTCTCTGCATTTTATTTATTAAAAGTCCTAGCCAAAATACATAAAGAGTTCTGTCGCTAAAAACAGCGGCAGAACAAGAGGCATATACAGAACAGCAGGCATATACATTTAAATGCTTAAGCTCCGGCGTGGGCGAGAACGTAACAATGCTTACGTTGTAGATCGCACTAGTCCATACATAGTTGTTATAATATAAACAAAACAACAGAGCTCTGCTATGAGTATAATTCCCTTACTTAAGTTGGGCATATGTTACACATACACACGGGTAAATTAATATAGATCATTTTATTTTTTCCTATGAATACACTAACCTTTTAATTATAATTCCACGTGAATAATTAACAATTATTTGTTATTATTAATATTTTAATTGATATGTGTTGATCGCAAATTTAATACACTCACTGATCTGTGGATGATCTATTTTCATAGTCTCAATTCAGATATTTTGATTCTTTTATAACATTTGATCACTATTTATCATATTCGTTTTTTTATAACCGGAACCGATTTTCAATAGGAAATCTGGGTATAATGGTTTGCTTAAATGTATGTCAGATACTAAAGACTTGTGCATGCATAGACATGTTATACGAGCCCACGCTGCTGTTAATGCGTGTTTATGCGTGCGAGCGTAAGTGTGTGTGTGTGTATGCATGTGTGAATAATTATTGAAATGGTTCAGGGGACCTCGTCGAGCAGTTGAGCAGTCTCGACTAGAGCTTTCTTACGTGTTTTTTGTAAGTCTTACTTGAAACTTCTATTTTACAATGTTTATAACTGAATATAAATATTTCAGTTAATTTTGAAATACCCGTTGAACTATAATTCATTTCATCTCTCAATTTTGTTGTCGAACTTACTTTTAAGTATCGCCTCGGCAAAATTAATAATCAAATTTGACGCTCAATTATCAGATTGTCGTCATGAGTTGTCGTTGTATATTCGCCATGATCTGTTCTATATACTATTCCCATTCTAATTTTGCAATCCATAGGTCACGTTGTGGGATTATGTGCGCTATGGGGCCAACGACTTTATCGGCGAAGTGGTCATCGACTTGGCCCATCACGTACTGGACGACGAGGCCGAGTGGTACCAGCTGCAACCGCATCAGGATAGCTCCCATCTCGTATGTTATATCTAAGGAAGTCGCAAACTTCTGTTTCGTTTCACTTATCGTTTCGTTTTGATTTGATTCGCCTTTGTGTTTCATGCCGGTTCGTTTTGGTTCATTTGGTTGTTGGTATGTTGATAAATGTGAAGCCATTGAGGTTGAGGTTTCTTAAGCTCCCCGGAACGAGATTTGTTGAGCGAAAAACTTAACACAAAACTGAAAAGCAGAAAATTTGTGTTATATCTTTGTTTTTGTTCTATTTTATACTTGAGTTTTAGTACATTAGTTGTAATGCTTAACCCCAACTGTCCACTGAAACAAAATTATTAACTCAGCATTGTCATATCTTTTGTTTATGTCGTGCACACCTTAAAAATACAAATGCATATATATATAAAAAAAATATATATATATACAATTCATGACAATCACCTTTCACCAACCAACCACTAAACAATCAACAATCAACAACAAACAAATTTAACTTCGACAACAACAACACATGCGGTCGCTGTCCCCGTTCCATTGCAACAACAATTATATGACAACAACAACAACTATGATGAACAGTTACGTGACGAGGGCAGCGATGTGGAGTGCCTGATTCTGACACCAACAGATCATTTATCACCGCCCAGTACGATGTCCCGTCTGAGCGACTCGGACACTACATCCGAGTGCGACATCGATGGAACGACGCCCGGTGCCAGCATCTCATCGATGGGCAGCTCTGCCAGTCCGCCGCTGTTCGAGGTAACAACAACAACAACAACAACAACAACAACAACAAGAACAACACTGCCAAAAACAACAACAACACACACACATTTGGTGTCACATAACAACATAAGAACAACCAATATTATATGAAAATATATATTCTTTTTGTATGTACTTACATGTATAAAGTACATACATACATGTTTATAGAGACTGATGTACATACGAGTATGTATGTGCACACACGCAGCTAAAACTGACAGCAGCAAGAACGAGGACGTTAAAGGGTCACACACACACGCACACACACACATAGCTTGCCACAGTCAGGAGCACTAGAATATACAAACAGTACACACACACAAATATACAGCTCTCGTAGATTCCACTCTATTCTCTTCGTTCAGCAGCAAAACTGCCTCTTTCCGCTCTCTCTCTCTCTCTCTCTCTCTCTCTCTCTCTCTCTCTCTCTCTCTTTCT